AGTGGGGAGGGTGGGGGGACAGGGGCAGAGCAGAGGGGAGAGAGGGGCTTTGCTATAAAAAATAAAATAAAAAATAAATTAAAAAAAAAACCCGAAGCGAGCTGGTGCCTGACCCTGATGGGGTCAGCTTCAGCGGAGCAGGACTCGAGGCCTTCTGGCTCCGGCCCCATGAAGGGGACCCTGGGACGGGTGAGCTGTGGCCGGGAACTCCGGGAGCCCCGAGGCCCCCTTTCTCCTCCTGGGGTCCCAGGGGGCTTCCCGCCGCCCGCACCCGGCGCCCGACGCGGACCGCCCGCAGAGGCGCCCGGCTTCCTCCCCTCCCGGGCACTCCCGGGTCCCTAACCAGCCCCCTGTCCCCAATTCTTGTCCGAGTAGCTACAGGCGAGGGGGAAAAGGCCAAGCCACAGATTAGGAGCAGGTCAGTTGTAATTCGAGGGGTCGAGCCCCTGTATGCCTGGCTTGGGGGGGAAAACAAACACCCATATTTATCTCCGCTTCCAATTTGCCTCCGGGCTCAGGGATGGGGAGGAGCGCGGACCCGGCCGGAGGAACAGATCGGGTGTCCGGGCCTTTTCCTCCCCTTTCATGTGAAGCTCGGAGGGGAGGGAGGGGAGAGGGGAAGGGGGGGCGATGGGGCCGCCGAAGGGTGAGCGGGTCAAGGAGGTGAGACCTGCTTGGCGAAGACGGCGATGTCCTCGTTGAAGGAGTCGGAGGAGCAGACGTCTCCGCCGGCCACGCCGGGCTCCCGGGGCGTGCAGGTCGCCAGCTCGCACTTCTCAAAGACCAGAGCTAACAGAGGAAACAACGGGTGCCTAACGGGCAGCGCCACGCCGAGACACACACACGGAGACGGGGGTGCAGAGGGGAAGGAGCGAGAACTGTAATCAACAAAGTTTGGAGGGTTCCGAGTCCTTCTTTTAACAACCACAGGCACGCACCACACTGCACAACCCTTCTCGTCCCCAGCCAGCCAGCCAGCCAGCCAGCCGAGCCGGGGCCAGAAACAGAAAGGAAAACCGGGCCTGGCTCTTTCCCCCACTACCCCGCAGCAGCTCGGGTCCCCTCCGATCTGCTGGCCCCGGCCCCGCCAAGTCAAAAAGAGCCTCAGTGGGAACGCAATGAAACGTCCAAGAAGCTCAGGCAGCCTGGAGCCTGGAGGGGATCCAGACCCACTCGCTCCCCACGCTCCAGAGGCCACCGCGCTCGCTCCGGAGACCCGGCCCTGACCTTCCAAGAAAAGAACACTCTGCGAAATAAAAATAAAATAAAAATAAAAACCGCCTGCACCCCGCACTGGAGCAGGCACGGCAGAGCATGCATGCACACTGGAGGTGATCTTTCCTCTTGGAGCCCCTCCACCCCCTGGCCTTTTAAACTTGTTTGCTCTACTTCTAGAGAAGCCCAGTGCGAGGGGCAGAATAATAATCATCTTAAATGCGGCTGCAGAGCCCCCATCCAGAGACACATTGCTCTGGCAGGGCAGGCAACCAGAGACAGGAGCAGAGCGCTAAAACTTGGTGGTGTGCGTGCGCCTCTGCCCTTTGTGTTCCTGCTCAGGGCGGCGGGGCTGCACTCCGGGATGCTGTCGGCGGCCTCTGGCTCCAGGCTCCATGGCTGCCGGCCGGCCGGCTGTCCCTCCCCTCCCCTCGGCCTCCCGAAGCCTTCCCCACCTACCCTCCGTGGGGAAAGCCCGAGGGGTAAGGTACGCCTTTGGGCCATGCAGCCCCATCCATCCCGGAGTGCCCTCAGAATATAAAATAATTTCCAGCCGGCTCCCCCCACCCCCCACCCCCACCCCACCCCCAGCGGCTTTGTGCAAGCAGCAGTCCCTTCCACCCGCTGCACTTCAAGGTCTGCCCCCTTTATTTACAGAGAATTAAGAAGTGGGTGATTAGGGCTTCCTGGCCCACAGAAGCAGCCCTGATCCCAGCTCAAGCTGCATTTACTGACTCCCAGGCTCTCGGTTGGAAAACACAAGAGGGAGGGGGAAAAAAGTTGTGCTCGTCCTTGGCAGGAAACTTTCTCCTCCGTCAAGGCCTGTTAGGGGGCCTGGAAGGACCAGCTCTGCGTCCTTTGGCCAGGAATCCCGTCCTTGGGGAGCAGGCCCTGGCAAGCTTCTCCAGACTCAGTCATTCCGGGGGCTGTGGGGTCCGAGAGTGACAGGGCCCTGGGGGTGGAGGAAACTATCCCTTCTGGGGACTCAGACTCAGGGGGGAAGAACAGGCCCCCTGCACTGTCCTTCCTTCAGGCAAGCGCCCGGGCCCCCCTTCTCTAAGCAGAAGTAACTCCCCACTTAGTTCGTCACCTTCTCACACCCCACCCCGACCCCCACAAACACACACACTCACACACAGCATGTCAGGTCGTGGTCGCGGGCGGTGGGGGGGAGGGCTTTACCCATAGATTGCGTCCTTGTCCCGCTTCAGGGCATCGTTGACAGCGGACCCCATGCTGGCCGGCATGACATTGGGGTGCGGGGCGTGCGCGCCGTAGTGCTGCGTGGCGTGGAGCGGCGGCCCGTGGTTCAGGTGGTGGACCGGGGGGATCGGCCGCGGCGCGTGGGGGTCTCCGTACATGGACGCGGGCACCCCTACGCCGTCCATCCCGCCGTAGTGGGGCAGCTCATCGTACTGTCAGGGTCCGGCGGCGAAGGGGGCGGGGGCGCAGGGGGTGAGAGAGGGCGAGGAAGCCGAGGGGGGACAGGAAAGGGAGCGAGGAGAAGGCGGCGAGGGGAGAAGCGGGGAAGGCACGGGGATGGGAGAGGGAGAGCGGTGAAGGGAATAAGGGAGTGGAGGGGGAGTCAGCGGGGGGAGGGGGGGAGAGAAAGAGAGAGAGGGAGAGGGAGGGAGAAGAAAATAAAAATAAAAACAAAAGTCAGAACAACGGAGAAAAGTACCGAGCACGAGTTAAACATGCACACAAAAAACACACACACACATAAACCCAGCCGAAAACAACGGAGCTGAAAGTTGGGGGATTTTTTTTTTTTTTGTATAATTTTTCAAACGAAGAAGCCTGAATTAGGAGCAGCCGGTAGAGCAGGCAGAGGGGGCGGCGAGGCCGGGCCGGAGGGGGTGCCCGCGGGGTCCCGCTCGCTCGGGGCCGGGGCCGGAGGCGGCAGCACCGAGCGAGCCAGCCCAGCCCGGGGAGCAGCGGAGTTCGTGTGAGGAGGAAGCCCCCGATCCCACCCCTCGCCCCCCTCCGCCTCCTCCCGAGGAAGATCCAATAAATCAAAAGGCGAAATGAAACAAAATAAAGAGAAGGAAAAAATGCTCCTCATCGGGACGAGGACGCCGCCGAGGACCGGGGAGCCGGGGGCCGCCAGCGCCACCCCCGGGGGTAGGGAGCGGAGGGTAGGGGTAGGGGGAAGAACGTGAAAGTTACCAGAAACATTATTTAGCAGCTGATTCCCCGCGTCCTTGTCAATTTCAGAGACAAAACAAGCGGCCCCGGCCAGGCTGGGCGGCCGCGCGGCCCGGCGGCGGCTCCTGGCGCAGCGGCCGGAGCCCGCCCGGAGCCGCGGGAGCAGCGGCGGCAGCGGCGGCGGCGGCGGCGGCGGCGGCGGCGGGAGAACCGGGGGAACCGCGCTGCTAGGGCACAAGCCGGAGCGAGGCGAAGCGTGTAACAATTGCACACGCAAACACACACACACACACACACACACACGCACACACACCGCTCACACGCACTCGCCGCCCGCCCGCCCGCACAGCGCTGCAACTCGCGCGCCCAGACACGCACACACGCACGCACACACACTCGCACACACGCAGAGGTACGGGGAGCAAAGAAGCCGGGGAATAATTTCGCTGCTATTTTTTAAAAATACTGGCCGCCGCCATCACCAAGCAGCGAGCAGCGGCAGCAGCAGCAGCGGGGAAGGGAGAGAAGCCTTGGGACAGACAGGCCCCTCTTAGGAGAGGATTTATATCTAGGTAAGTGCTGGAGATTTAAACCTACCCTTTGCGCCATCAGTCTGCGCTCCAATAAACTCCTGGATGTGTCGTATGTTTAATATCCCAGTCCGGATAAGAAAGTGATTCTAGCTGAAGATTCCTCTTTTTTTTTCTTTTTTTTTTTTCCTGTCCAAATCAAGGAGACTTCTCCCAATTCTCCAATATGTTGTTTTGGTTTTTTTTTTTTTTTTTTTTAGAGAAGAAGAAAAAAAATAAAAAATAAAAAGCCCAGGCAAGACAACGAAGAGTTGTTTTTTTTTTCTTTCTGTGATATTTCTTCTTTTTCTCTTTTTTCCTCTTCTTTCTCCTCCTCCTGATCTTCCTCCTCCACCTCCTCCTCCTCCTCCCCCCTCCCCTCCTCCTCCTCTTCGGTCCTCCTTTCCCCCTCTTTCTCTTCTCTGCCCCTCAATTGGGAGAAAAAAAAAGAAAAGAAAAAGAAGAAAAAAGAAGGAAAAAAAATTGTCAAGCCCCTGAACTGAAGGCTACGAGCGGCCCGTCAGCAACCCACATGTAACCGAACTGTCGTGTTTCATGGCTTTTTGCCACTCCAGCTGTCAATCAAAGCCCGGAATGTCAAGGTAGTGAATGAATGATGGTTGATGATGATGAAGAGGAGGAATCTTTGAGACCCGGTGGTTGGTTTTTTGTTTTGTTTTGTTTTTTTCTCTTCCAGTAAAACTCCGCGAGGGGTTTCTGCTTCTTGAATTTTTCCTCCCCCCTCCCCCCCCCCTCTTTCAGCGTTGCCCCCGTGGTATCTATTCTACGATCCCCTCTCCTTAAAGTATCGGTCAAAGAAAGCGGGGGGAGGGGGGAGGCAAGAAGAAGAAGAAAAAAAACCAAAACAGAATAGTTTGCAAAAAAATTGGACTTCCTCCCCCTCTTTCCTGGTAGGTATTTTGTCTCTCCCTCCCTCTCGCGCTCGCTCTCCCTCGCTCCTTCTCCCCGGGAGATGAGTGAGTGTCAGTAGGTGTTGGCAGGTTGGCTGCTGCCTGGCTTAGAGAAGAGCCTCGGCTCGGCGGCGCGGGTCGGCGGCGGGAGGACGGAATGACGGAACCCGGAAGTCGCGGTGGCCATAGCCCTCGGTTCGGCGGAGACACATCCCGGGAGCGGGGAGCGGGGAGCGGGAGCGAGGAGGAGCGCGCCGCGCCGAGACTCTGATATGGAGCGAGTGCGATCGGACTGCCCCGACCGGGGAGGGGGGGCCGGGGAGGCGGAGGGCGCGAGGGGGAGGGGAGGCAGGAGCCCAGCAAACCGGAGCAAATCAGCAAGCCAGCTCTTCCGCGGGGACGGCGGGGGGTGGGAAGGAGGGAGGGAGGAGAGAAACGAGAGAGGGAGGGAGGGAGGGAGGGAGGGAGAGAGAGAGAGAGAGAGAGAGAGAGAGAGAGAGAGAGAGAGAGAGAGGAGTTTGTGCACGCGCGCGCGCGAGCGAGGAAAGAGGGAGAGGGAGAGAGAGAGCATGAAGAGGACAGGGAGAGCACAGAGAGGAAAACTGCAGAAAACCACAGGGAAAGTACGGTACAGCCTCAGATCTTTTAATATTTTTTTTAAAAAAAAGAAACTTACTTCTAGTTTATTTTCCCATCACTCCGGGCTCATGCCTAACGGGGTCGTGTTGGGAACGTGTGGCATGGCGCTCTGGCTTTTGTTCCTTTTAATTCCGACGCCCCTACTCTTCTGCGAGCCGATCACAGCGCCCCGAGGCTCTCTGCTCACATCCAGGGCAGCAGGCTCCGCGCACGGTACCGCCGCCGGACTGGAGGCTTTCCTCTTCTCTTCTCTTTTCTTTTCTTTTCTTTTCTTTTCTTTTCTTTTCTTTTCTTTTCTTTTCTTTTCTTTTCTTTCTTTTTCTCCTTTTCTTTTCTTTGCTTTTCCTTTCTTTTTTCTAAGTGGCACTTTCTTCCCGGTGCAGATCCAGGACCCTTGTCAGAACTCATTTTTTCTTTCCAGGTTAAGAAGAAACCAGCTAAACTCAGAGAGCTTTGCGGATCAGGGCCACCCTGGAGAATCTTTGGGGGCCGCTGCGGACTCGGGTGGGAGGAAATGGGGAGGGAGTTGTTTGGGCATTTCATGTCTGATTTCGCCACGGAGTGGTGTGTGTGTGTGTGTGTGTGTGTGTGTGTGTGTGTGCTCGCGGGCACGCGCGCGCGTCTCCGCACTAGGTCTCCCTTGAAGCTGGAGAGCCAGAAGGGAGAGAGGGACCGAGAGGATGTCCCGGGAGGAGGACGGGCCGGTGCTCCCCGCCCAGCTTTGTTGTGGTCACCCCGGGCGCAGAGGCTTCCGCGCGGCCCCGCCAGCTAATGGCCTTGTTCATTCCCCGAGGCAGTTTCGTGGGATCGGGAGGACCGGGCCGACTTGGAACGAACTTTTCTAACATGGAAAAGGAGAGGAGGGCAGGGGAGGCGAGGTAACCGTCCCGCACCGCTTGTGCAGAAAGAAAGTAGTTCTGGTCGGCGTCTTGCCCAATCGCCGGCCCAAGCCGCACCTACCCTCACCTCCGCGCCCAGGGCTTCCCGGCGGCCGCGCGTCAATCACCCCGGGCCCGGGCTGGGGGCGGGGCCACGGCCGCCCCGCGCTGCGCGCAGCCCCCGCCGCCCGCCGCCCCCTGCGCTCCGAGCCTGCCCTCTGCCCAACTCCGCGCTGTAGCCTGCGTCCTAGGCTCCCCGGCCCAGAAAATCGAACACGGACTGTTCCCCAACAGCCACCTCCCTCCAACTTTGAACCCTTTCTGGGGAGTAGAAAGTAGTACATCCACCGTGCGACTTTGACCTGACTTCCCGGGGAATGGGGGATGGGGGAGGGGGCAGTGAGAATAAAGTACTGTGTGTGTGTGTGTGTGTGTGTGTGTGTGTGTGTGTGTGTGTGTGTGTGTGTGTGTGAGAGAGAGAGAGAGAGAGAGAGAGAGAGATAGAGAGAGAGAGAGAGAGAGAGAGAGAGAGAGAGAGAGAGAGAGACGGAGGTGGACTGGCTTTTTTTTTTTTTTTTTTTTTTTTTCTCCTTTCCATCTTCTCTGCTTCACTTCGAGCTTCTTTCGGGCTTAGATGGCAGCCTGCAGACTGCAGACTCCCAAGTGGAGTCGGAGAAATTTGGACCCGTTTTAATAGGGCTGGGGAATGAGCTCTGTAGGTCAATAAAGCCCTCCAAAAATGATGAATGATTGAGCACCTGTGATGATGATAGTGATTACCAGAGCAATTAAACAGTTTGATTAAATGAGCCATCATAACAATGATGTCTGCTGGAAACCGGCCCTCACATATAAAGATAGTGCGGAAGGCCTGGCAGAGCGAGGGTAGCGCCGCCAGGGACGGGGCTGCGGACGCACAGTGCTGGCCGGGGTGGCCAGAGGAGGGAAGGCTGGCCGGGCGCGGAGCTTGGGGAAGGAGAATTTGGCCAGGTTTTCAGCCATGCTTGTGTTGCGGGTCAAGCCTGCAAGAGCCTACGGGTATGAAACCTGCAGGTTGGGGGAAGGGTTCTTACCCTCCACCTCCTCATTTTTTTCCCCCCTAGAAGAAACTCCAAGATTACATGAATCCTTATTTGTTACTGAGTTGCTCCTGGACATATAAGAAAAGGTGAGTAACAAAAGAAAAAAAGACGCAAAAGGAAAGGGAAAAAAGTTGGCTTCCAGAATTTTATTTCCAGTGATAGTTAGGCGAATCCAGGTTAGCCAGGACGGGAAGGATGAGAGCGGAAAAAACCAGCTGGTCTCACCGCACAAGGTTTTGGCTTTGCAGAGAGGGCTTCATATTGGTGGATGCAAGTTTCCGGGGCAGCGCCGCTCTCAGAGAAGTTTACACTCGGTTTTTCCATTTTCACTCTTCTAATTTTTTTAAATCTTGCCTATTTATTGTCACCCATGGGAATTCTTTTTGTTTAAATGTCTGTATAGTAAGTACCAATTACTTCTGTTTTTAAAAAGAAACCCAGAATTACTTCTGTTTTAAAAAAGAAACCCAGTTTCCTTGATACATGCTCCCTTAAAGATCAACTTTGAAGGGAACCTCTGCATCTCAGAGTTTAAAGATTCAACGTTGTTACCTTTTGCTGCTTTTATCACCGCTTTTTTTTTTCTCATGGTGATACTGTGGAGTTAGCATTCCTACCGCTTCTATTTAGAAAAACTGCACTAGTATTTTCTTTTAAACCTGTTTCTTGTGAGACACTGCATCCGAGTAAAAACAATTCTAACCAAGAGGTGATTGCTATATTTTCAAACACTTGTTAAAATAATAATGGGTTGATTGCTCCTTGATGATCTTGGATTTTACAAAAGAAAAAAGTTTAATATCTATTTCCATCTTTTGGGCAATGCAGAAATCTTTTTAACCTGCAAACATACACACACTCTTTTCTCTTCTCTTCTCTTCTCTTCTCTTCTCTTCTCTTCTCTTCTCTTCTCTTCTCTTCTCTTCTCTTCTCTCTCTCTCTCTCTCTCTCTCTCTCTCTCTCTCTCTCTCTCTCATCGATTCTGTAACTTCTTTTCCATTTTATTGAATACCTTAAAGCAAACAACGGGGACAATTTGGTTTGATGTAGGACGAAGAGTAAGATACTGTTAAAGAAAAAAAATCTTTAATTCCAAAGACTTTAATTAAGAAGTGTGAGAGTGTTAAAAGTAACACCCTACTAGAAGGAAATCTGAGGCATTTAAAAATCCTCCATTACTTAAGGTGAGAACTCCCAATTTCTTGCAATTTAAAGAAATTTCACTTACCTAGTTGCATGTCATTTATGAAACTAAGTTTAAAACAGCACCACAGTTCCATGGATTACACACAAGATCAAGTTGGAGGTGATTCAGGGTGTAGGTTCTTGGTCAATCTGATTAATTCAAAGGACTATTACTTTTAATCACCAGCCTACTGATGTTTTGTGAAACATTTATCAGAACTTCCTGGTTTCCCCCCTCCGATAGAAGCGACTGAAAAAGCAGCAGGGTTGGAATGCTTTCAAGCCTGATAGGACCTTGCTGATGCTCCATTCTCAGCCTCGGAACCCTCCCGCAGGCTGCAGTGCTCATCTGCTCTCCAACATTTGGGGCGAAGGAAAAGTAGGTAGATGGGGCAGGCCTCGAGACAGGCTGGAGATGAGGGTCGCAGGAGGTGGCACACACCTCCGTCAACAGCCAGCTCCTTTTGCCCAGGCTGGAAATGGTTTTAACAGGCGGTAAAATTTCATCTTGCGGTGTCAAATTGGGGTCATTTTGGGGTTAGAGTTCTCAGTGTCCGAGAGGAGCTGTCCAGCTGCGTGGGGACTCATTAACTGCAAAAGATCTGTTTCAGTAAAAACAATTCAAAGACAATCAGAAGGCTAAAGACCCTCTACAAATCGCATTTTACAAGTGCCCCAGAACAAATATGGACGCTGAAACCTATTTCTTCAGAATCCCAAATAAGGCTACTTAGCTCTGGAGTAGGGGGTAAGGGCGCTGCATTAAAAAAAAAAAAAAGAGGCGAAGGGGAGGGGACCCAATGGGTGGGGATAAGTGGGAGGGGGAATGGGCCTCTCAAATTTAAGAGTCTGTTTTTAATCACCTCTTTCTTATGGAAGCATCCCCAGGACTTTTGAGGATTACTTCTTTTCTATCCCCCCCCCCCCTTATTTTTTTGTCTCAACGTGAAATGCTATTACAGATAACAATCAAGATTTAAAAACAATAAATGAATCCTGCTATAGTTACTTAATTTAAGGGGCATTGGCTTTATGGGGGGAACATTTAATTCGAAATGAGTTTCATGAAGCTAGACTATTTTTAGATGAAGTTAAGGAGCCCCTTTCCTTAAGGACACCCTGTGTCTGTTTCTTTTCACTTTTTTTTTCTAGAAAGTTATAGGTCCTTAACACAGATAATCCTGAATTCCCCAGAACAGTGAAGTCTGAAGTGCTAGTTTTGATCTATGTATTAAAATTGCTGGATTTAAATATTTTTTTTATCCTCTTACAATAGTTAGAACAATTGATGCCATGCTAGAGGAGCAAATAAACCCATCCTTAATCTTAGCTGTAACTTTAGTTAATGTTTTGAATGGAAGTATTTTGGATTAATCAGATTAGGGGGGCTATATTAGGTTACTTTTTTTATTTGTGGATGTTTTGTTTGCGGATTTGGAAGAAAGATACTCATTATTTGATTCAAAAATTTTCTTCAGGTAAAAAGCAAGTGTAATTTAAGATGAGAAGCTGGATGAGTGAGATGCAGGGGTTTTAGAATAAAACCAAATCAATACTTTAAAATATTATTTGAAAGACATTTTCTTGCTTGCATTACTGACCTGAGCAAGTAAAAAAGGATCAAAATATGCTTTTCTTCTTCCTACCTCTCTTAAGACCACAGCTCTGTCATGCGGTCTTCTCTCTCCATCTGCTTCACTGCCCTTTGGGTTCTGAGTGCAACAGTGAATTTTTGTTGTGCAGGCTCTTTCCTCCCGGTTTCCCAGAGTGTTTATACATTGTTAGAAGGAGTTTGATTGCAGCCCTGCACAAACAGCCCTGCGCCCAGCATTGCTGGACAAAGGCAGCAGCGGGGCTCCTGCTCCAGACTTGCTGGCTGACAGTTGGAATTTTTGATACGTTTAATGTTTGGCGTTTCCAATAACGTGTCTGCCTCTCCCTCCCCACTCCCTGGCAGCCATCTATTTAAAAACATCTCCAGAACCCTCAGCTCATCCCTGTGAACTGTTTTTGACCTTTTCCTGCAGTGTAACCAGCAGCTCAGAAAGCTCTACCGGGAAGTATTCCACTTCCTTACCTGTTAACTTTGCTCACTCTCTTCCTGATTCGTATTAAGGGAGGGAAGGGAACCTTTGTTTTGTTGGTTGGTTGGTTGGTTGGTTGGCCCTTTTTGCCCGCTTAGACTTTTGATCATATACCCCCCATTCCCCATTCCTAATTAATAACATATACCCCCCATTCCCCATTCCTAATTAAGGGCACCCCACAATTTTCTTCCTGAATAAGACGAGTGGAATCATTGCGCTTTTTCTTTCCTTTTACTCTCTCTTATTTCTTATCTCTCCCAATTTCAGCCGCTTCGCCCTCTCGCAGAGCACCAGCATTTCAATAAATAGCCCTCTAGCGCTATCTGGCGGGGCTCCAACAGCAACATGAGCTCGCTCTGGAAGCCGGGCTCCGTCCCGCGCTTTCTTCCTTCCTTCCTCTCTATCCTTCCTCTCTTCCTCCTGCCTCTTTGCTTACCTTGATCCCAACCCCTTTCCCTCTTCCCGCTGCCCCTTCTCTAGCTTCCACCTGCACCTCCAGGGCCAAGCGCTCGGAAAGAGCCAGCAGATAACCGCGGAACCCACTGATGCTCTTTCGGGCTCCCGCCTTCCCTTCGCGTTGGCCATAGGCATCCTGCGCCTTTTATTAGCATCTGAATGCTGCTGAGCGTGCTGCTGCTGAAGTTTCAGCTTCTCCGCTGGTGTGGATTGGTGGGGCTTAAAGCAGTATTTCTGGAGTTTGGAGGGAAGAAATCAGACGCTAGGATCCCGGCGAGTGGGTCCCAGCTAAGTTTTTGGTCAAGAGGCCCCGTCTGCGTGTGAGCGGGAGGGAGGGTTTGGCTTCCCAGGCGTGGGAAGAACGCCGGCGCCCGCCTCGGGGAAAGAGAGGGCTGGGGGCGCCGGCCTGGTCCCCACGCCCCCACAGGTCTCACCCGCGGGATCCTACATCGCAAGGAACTGCTCAAGTTTTTGTCCTGGGCCTGTCCGGGATCTTATTTTTCTTTTTAAACGTGAACTAGCTGTATTCCACCCCTCCCAACCCTACCCATCACTCACATAGGATTTGGGAAGGAATGGAGTGTGTG